TCCAAGTCTCATTCCTCATTGTGGTGGTCATGGTTACGCCGTGATCCACCTTTAGCCGCAGTCTTGGTCCTGCTTGCTGTAGGACCTAGTGCCACGCCGTCCGAAGCGGTAATGAGCAGAGGCAGGAAAGCAGCGCTGTTTTATATCTTTTCAGGTTCAAGCAGAGTGATGTGCAACAGTGCAACCAAGTTGTATTCGTTTATGATGACTGGGTTTGGGGAAAACGTTTAGTTCATGAAAACAGTGATAAAATTTCATCCGCGCATTTTTCAAAAATGTTTTGATTAAAAATTGGAAAAGTATTTATTTCAGCAGATTCGTTAAGTAATATCCTATCGGTTGGCGTATTTGGATTTTAATTTCATCTATAAATGACAAAGTTACAAGCGTTCAAAACCTAACACTATTTCACCACACATATTTTTGATTGTACCCCTGTATAGTCGACAAAGACGTAGTTCTACGTCAAAAAAATCTGTTTAAAAAACCGAGACAAAAGGCGGGTTGTGCTTAGTAGGCCAATTTTTTCAAATACTGTTTTCTGAAATTGTATTTTCTAGAACATAGGTTATATTTATAGGAACCTTTTTCTACTTTGCAGCCAAGAAAATGGTCGAACATTGAAGATTTTCAAATTTCAAAGTCTCGGAAAAACGCAAGTTTGCGCAGAATGCTATTGAGCAGCTTTTACAATAGTTCTTGATGGTTAGAAAGAACCGGAACAGCAAAGTTTAAAAGTAGAATGGATTTTATTTAACGACTAGCTTGAGTGGAGTCTTGAACAGGAATGAAAAGTTTTTCACCGTTGTTTATTTAAGAAAACTTAGGTTGCTAGGGGTGACGTTCGGTCTCCAAGGAGGTGATCAGCACACTGCGTTACCGATTTACTCCAACAATAGTGAATTCAGTGAATAAAATAACGAAAATAGCGGCTTTAAAAAAAAATAAAAAGTGACCAATAGTGACGGAAAGACATGAAAGATATGGATCCAATATTTCATGAAATTGCAACCCGCTTTGAGAAATATTATAAACTCTAACACGCAATGAGCATTTTTCAAGCTCAAAATAAAACAAATGGTTGAAGGATCCCATAAATTTGCTTTCGAAAAATCGAAATTGAATATTCAAGAGCACGGTTCATTTCTAACCTCCATTTCCTCACACTGTTTTTCTGCCTCGATTTCCTAAGTTGAATTTTGATTCCGATTGCGAATTGGTTAGGGGAAACGTTGGCTTCGGCAATACCTTAACCTATTATCGTCGTAACAATGTTCTTGAGAGCTCAATTTTGACATTGTGTTTGAGAGCATGTATTGACCAAATTTGAGTGCTCTAGGACTTTGTTTAGCGCCTGACGATAATAGGTTAAGGTATTGTCGAAGCCGACATTTCCCGTATATAAACATTTCAAGCATAATTTTTCAAAAGGACGTATGTAACATTGGATAGGAAATTAGAAACATTGGATAACAATGTCTATATGAGATTATTAAATGCTATTTAAAAGTGAATGTTATTTTTTAAATCTGTTTGTGCTATTAGTTGGATAAAGGGATAGCGTTTAAGAGAATTGTGAAAAATGTCGAGTTTTGCAAACACGGACAAGACTTTTGATAAAACATAATCATACACCTTTTACTTGTGTACTACCTACATACACACTGATTGATTCGTCGGTATCACACCTTGATTGTTACATACACCCTGCATGATTCGTCTATTTGACAGAAGGGTTTTCACATACGTCAAATCAGATACACCGGTTTTTGTTTTGCAGTGAAGATACGTCGGCAGCTCGAAAAGCATTGAGGAATTGTCGATTGCTTGGATTATTAACATAACTACCCAGAGTTGTTAAATAATCGATGTTAAAAGCGGAGATGAGAGGGTCACCGCATTATCTGCTGTCAGATGTTATATGTTTTGTGTTTTTCGTATTAAGAAAGCGCTGGTCAGACTGGTATGTGAAGTTCAATATTAAAGTCAAGATTAAAGTGTAATTTTATTAGAATACTTTTGAAATCATAAACATGTTGCTCCCGGAAATACAAAAACAAACATACAAACTTGACGCATTTGCTGATTGATAGTGGTTGCTTTGTTTTTTCACATACGACGCTTCACTGTGAGCGTATCTACAGTTTTTGTGTTATCATCAAATTTTAACAGTTAAGTCATGTTGACAATAAAAGGGTGTATCAACACCATTTTAAAAACAATGAAAGAAGGTTACATAGGGCGTTCATTAAATATATTTTCCATAATGCATTACAATTTCAAACCTTGTTTTTCATTAACTCGTAGGAAAAGCATGTATTTTATAGTCGGTTAGATGCAAAATATCGATTTGTTTATTTTTACGACTTACGTCCTTTTGAAAAGTTATGCTTGATTTACTGTCTTCCTGATTCAACACCAGAGGTTTCATCTAATAAAAAACTGAATAAGTGTAATTTGCACATACATTGACGCTTTAATTCGACTGTTTTAATTGATTTAATAACATGCTTTATCAGACGTCTAATAAATGTTTTCTAGCTCCATTATTAGATTCCATTGCATTGCTTTACAATATTGTTGAATTAAGGTGAATACAGTCAGCATAATAGCTCTTATCCCACTATGCCCCCATGTTTTAACATGGACACATAGTGGTATATAGAGTGTCCCAGAATGTCTAAGCACGACTTAAAAAAAAACGATAACGTAACTCTGTTTACAGCAAATTCGATTTTTATTTCGTATTCATGTTCTCTATACTATTCTTTTACAGTTTAACGTAGAAAATCCGAGATCCAATCAGCCGATGTTTCTGCAATTATGCTTTGGTCAGGGCCCAAAAAGTTTCGATTGGCCTGGCCTGGGGACAGTTTGGCGGATTCATCTCCTTGGGCACGATTAGGACCTTGTTGGCTTTTTACCAGGCTACCATGTCCTTGGACGAATGAACCGACGCCAAATCCGACCAAAACAGTACTGAGGCGTCGTGTTTGCGGATCATGGATAACAGACGCTTGTTTAAACACTCACGCACGTAAACATCGGTTGTCATTGTCTCCGTTGTCACAAACGGTTTGGAAAGAATACCACACTCACAAATGGCTTGCCAAACCATAACCTTTTTACCGAATCTTTCGGTAAAAATCGACTTATCCGCGTCGTCAATACTTCGGCCAGCACAAACGGTGTAGTACTGATCACCAGGAAGAGTTTTGCACCCCGATTTTCCGCACAGTCATTCGTCGTATAACTTCCGAGCCCTCGGTTTGAAGGATGCGGCTTGTTTTTCACTCCGCTTTGGCTTCTTCTGCTTCTTATACGTCTTTAGACCCATTCGTGCCTTGGCCCGCTGGACGTTACTCTTCAAGGATCCCACTTTTTTAGCCACGTCTCGAACCGAAGCACTTTTCTTGCGAGTGAAAGATTGCACGATTTTCCGGTCCAGATTTCGGTTTACGTCCAGATTTTTGCTTGTCCTGGAAAGTTGATTCATCACCATACTTCCGAATCGCGTTTCGAACGGCTCCGATGCTTACACCTTCCAATTTCGCTAATTGACTCAGAGAAATTTTGCGAATAGTACACCATTTGTGCACGATCTGTTTGCGCATTTCCGAAGAAATGCTTCGTATTGTCAAGGAAATGTAAAGAACCGACACTTGCGATCCACGAAACTGTTGATCGAAACGTAAACAATGATTCAGCGTAATAATCTGTTTAAACGTCATCTGAAACAAGCAGGGGTGTTCCAAAGTCGTGCTTAGACATTTTGGGACATCCTATAAGAGCTATTATGCAATTAAAATAGCAAACGTGAATGCTTTCGGGACTTTTGGTGGTAGATCGTAAACTCTCACGTACTGAACGGTGCCCCCCGCAGGCGACATGCGTACCTCGACTGATTTTCCATCGGTATAATGGAAAATTAATTGTTCACGGTTTTTTTTTTCCTTTGGTTTGTTTTTTCCGTCGATCTTGTTTTCCGTGCTGAGCACCAATGCTACCGACGTGCCAAGAAGGCAGCTCCCACACCTGGACCCTACCTATCGACCCATCAACTCATGAACCGGGGACCAACGGCTTTACTTCCCATCCGAAGGAAGGCGTGATCAGAGATGTTATGCCTCAGAACATCCGGCGGCGCCGACTGGGATTGATCCCAGGCCTGCTGGGGTGAGAGGTAATCACGCTTACCACTACACCACCGGCGCCGTTAATTGTTCACGGTTGTGTAGAAAACAATAAAGCATCGAATCCACTGATTTGAACTTGAACATAAATTTTCCTCCGCTATACGGTATGTAGCAATCATCTGATGTGAGTGGGATCCGCGTCCAGAGATATCACGATATTCGTAATTTCATTAACTAATGGTTTCGGCGAGCCATGTGGGAAGCTGAATCTAATCGTCTGTTTTATTTCCACCGACATCTCCACTAGTTGTTTGCCTCCAACGGGGTAACAGCAAAAGCGAATGAACTTCAAACAATGAAGACTGAACTTTTGAGTGTGATAGATTAAACTTAGAAATTGTTTAGGGAATCTTAGACATGAAAAAGCTGATAACAGGGTAAATTTATAAAGGGTTTGAAAAAACTTCCATGTTTTTTATAAGAAATAAAAATTCTGGAACCAGAAAAAAGTTTCGATGATCTTGGACTTGGTAATTTCTTACAAAATAAAATTTTAGGTCTACAAAATTCAAAATTCTGGAACATTAAAAAACAAAATTATATTGTTTATTTACTTAAATCAAAAAATCTTGGCAACTGCTTGAAATCAGGAATATTGATATGTTTTTAAGGCCCGAATTATTACTTTTTTAACATGAATCTCGAGTACAGGTTCTTAAAATAAATCTAGATATTTGAAAGCTTTCAATGCTTAGAATCTTGATTTTATGTGAATGATTTGGTTCTAGTAGGTAATTGCTAGCGCTCAGCACCGTATGTGCTACGTTCAAACCATCACTGAAATATTGTTTCTCTTTCTTCTAGTCCTGGACGCGGTATTTCGTCCGTGTGGAAGCGGTAAAATGCTTTCCGTGCTACATTAAAATCTCATTCTTCAAATCACATACCGACGAAAGTACCGATCTGATCGTACGCATCAATATTCCCGGTCTGACCGTTCAAATGGCCACATCACGTACGCGAGCCCATTCGTATGGACTGTTTTGGAAGAACAATCGCAAAAGGTGCTGCGCGTACTTTGCGCTACCGTCGCAGTTATTGTGTGAACGTCATCTACGTTGGATGAAGAAATCGATCCGGAACCTCGAGCTGTACCGTCAGGAGATCCTGCAGCTGCGGCGGGCCAGCCGAACGCCGATTCACGAGATCCGGAACGAAATACAGCCAAGCACCTCTAATAACGACATGGGGCTTTATCAGAATCTCGATTTCACACAAAACATGGCTGATGTGCACGATATACTTGGACCATTGCCGAATCTTCCCGACCAGTCGCAAGTCAGCATGGCCCGAAGAATATCTGGTATTTCTGGCATTTATGAGGAAATTCTCGACCCCAATAAACCGATTGCGGCACTTTCTAATGGATCTCGCTTGTCACGTGCTTCGATCGCATCCGGTATTTATGAGGAAATGAAACTTGCAGATATTAAGGAGCAAGCTGAGAGGTATGTAATAAATTGATTGTTTTAAATTTTAAATGAAGCAGATTTACCAGCTCTATGTACCATTTCAGAAGCTTTGGGACAATGGCAGAAGCTGACGATGTTATTGCACCTCCTCCACTGCCACCCCGCCCAAGATCCCACACCAATGATTTCGAATTGCAGCGATCGTTCACCACGCCAGAATCCGATTATTTAAAAAAGAAGAAACACTGGCTACTATTCGAATCGATGTTCGGCCGACGGAGAACAAACAGTGGATCTGCCAGCACCGGTGGTGATGATCATAAACAGCCAAAAGCAGACAACGTTTCTACCAAGAAAACAGCGACATCAGAACCGAACCAGAAAGTTGTATACCGTGATAAAGTAGCTCACTTACGATTTGCGGAAAATAAGCGAAACAGCTTCTCGAGCCCGGATCTTAGTGCACTGAAGGTGGATGGAATTAGTGGCAATGGCTCAACAGATAATATCTCTAATGGGGGATCATGCAGCTCGGAGTTCTACGTTTTACAAGAAGGCGACTTCATTGAAGAGAATTGCCTTGCATCATCTGAATCTTTGAATGTATCGAAATGTTCGTCGATTGAAGAATCACTAGCTAATTTAATGATTGCAGATGAGGAAAGAGACAGACAAGGAATGAATGTGTCGGAAAATATCATTGATAATTTTAACATTTTAAGCAATACATCGACGGTTAATCTGGCAGGATGGAACTGCGTGATGTCAGTGAAGGAAAACCCTCCTGCTATAGGAAATCCTGAAGGTTACTGCGAAATGGGAGCCCCAGGAACCGGCTTCGATCGTCAAAAGTTGCAATGTGTAGAACTGAGAACTAGAAGTGCAAGTGAAACATGCAATGACGAATCTATCTACATGAATATGGATGGCGGAGGAACAGTGAAGGAAGATGCAAGTCGCTCTAGCTCGACCTCGAGCGGAGTAAGTAGCATTTACAGCAACAGAAGTAGTGTCTGCAGCAGTTCGAACAAGCACAGGAATTCGATAGACGACAAAATTGCTTCATATTATCCTAACGAAGATTTTCGGTCGCCCAAGAAAACTGAGCCCGCCTATACGCCAACTGTAAGTCCTAATTCTAGGGAAGGAAGCGTTAAGAGAACAAATTCAAAACGTTCGGAAAATCATCATACAACCTCACCTAAAACTACCCACCGCAAAGCATCTCCACAGAACATATCTACAATCCCGCGAATGAGCAAATCTGGTCAGAAACCATCGTGTAGCAAGTCCCGTGTAAATACCAGAAGTGTCAGTTCTGAACGAGGTCATTCATCGCACCCGATAATAATGATAACAGACGGATCTCCTACGAAGAACAGTGAGAACAATCCTCCCGAGACGATCCCGCGACTCTATAAAAAGTATGCAACTGTTGCACGTGGTGTTTCAATTTCTCCCAGTAAATATCAGGAGAAAAATTCCTCCCGGAAAGGTGGAGAGCCCCAGCCAGCCGGAAATGGCAAGCGTTTCGGTTCGTTACCACGATTCGCAAAAATTGATCTATCGCCATTGCGACTGAAAATTAACAGCGTTCTTCAGCGCCACAATCAGGAAAATTTATGAAAAGTTAATGGATATTGGAGACACTGGTCCCATAACTAGCATGATCTCACCACCTACATGATACAAACCACCGGCAAAAGCAGTGTAGATGTTATAGCTTTAGTCAATTGAATTTGCTGCAATATTATAGAGCGTTTAACAAAAAAAAATGCTCAACACATTAAGCTAAGCTGCTTCACAAATGTTACTATTTAATTGATATCCAATTTTGGCTTCCAAATTCCAAAATGTTTTAGCTAAATTTATTGCTACCTTGAAGTTTACGTGTTATTATAGTAGTGTTGTATTAGTTGCATTGGTATTGTTTAAAAATTGAAAACTATCGTAAACTTAAGATATTTAAAGCTTAGCTTTCAGCCCATAATATAGTTTATGTTGAGCTTAAATGCAATTAGCAAATTGTCCATCTTTTAGACGTGAATGCACGGGTGAAACATTAAACTGCACAACCAAAAGGAAACAATTTCTGTGATCTGAGCAAAAACGGTACAACTTTTCATCTGTCCTATCATCAGCGACAGCTAAACGCAACAAAGAATCATCCCAGGAATCTCGAACTCGAAGAATTGCCTTTTGATTAGATCTGCACAGAAATTACATTTTTAGATAGGTATTATATTGTAAAACGAAACAGTAACCTTATTGCATATCGGAAAACGAAAACAGAAACAGACAAGCTTTTTGAGACGGACGTGCTATTGCTTTTATCAGTGATTTTACTGAAGCTAAAATGTGATTCTAATAAACTGCGGCATGTACAAAAAAAAAACATTTTAATACGTTGGAACATGAGATACGCCTTGGTTTTTTTTTTTGTGTAGTTGAGAAAGCACCGTTGTATACTGTAACAGTCAACTGTTTTAAGGGAAGGTGCGTGAAAGAGCTCCGGTCGGTGTTGATGTTGGTTCGCTCGCAACAATTTTTGCAAAAAAAATTAAGTGCTTTCGACCGAAGGTGTACCAAAAGTGCTTCTGAACGTGTTTCGCAGTTGGGTGTGGTGAAATTCGTGCATTCCCGGTTGATTTTTAGTTCGAAGACGACGGGTTTGCTTTCGCGAGAGTGACGAGTGTCACGCTGTGTCACGGCGTGTAGTTCTATCGAGAGTCTCGTCACCGTGTGCGAGTTTGAACACGGTCCGGTTGGTAAATTATCCGGGGAAAGTGCTGATAATGTGTCCGTCGCGAGTTTTGGTGCTGATTCGTTGGTCGACGTTGCCAGCGAGTTTACGGCTTGCAAAAGTGCTCGTCTGCTGGTCTCTCGCCAGTGTCGGAGATTGTGAGCAAGCTGAAGGATGCCTATTGTCGTCGTCGTAGGCACCGTAGGCAGTACAGTTAGCTTATTTAAAATTAATCATCAGCAGCTGGAACTATATGAATTATCGCGAATTTCTGTTGCTCATTACATACCAAGTGAAATTCGAGAACGTAATTTCATTTGAATAGCTTGTTTAACCAGGGCTTAAACAATCGTCACGTCGGTCATAGCATCTTATGATTGCCTGAACAATAGACGAGTGCACGGATGGATTTGAGTTCACTCACTCGACAAAAGTGACACCCATCGCATACTAAAACCAATTACATTCAATACTATCAATACTATCGATGTCCAACCTCTGCAGCATGTGGTTCGTGATTCTTTTTTTTTTTTGTCTTTATTATAGATATTTTTAGCCATATGGCTAGTTCATCTCTTCGGTTCGTGGTTCGTGATCTACCAATTACACTTGACTCTGCTTTGACGTTTAAGCTACATTACACGGATATCATTGGGGTGTGAAGTTGTTCGCCTCCCCGTGGTGCACCCTGGAAACGATGGACCACCAGTGCTGCGGTACTGATCCAGTCGGCTAATCGAACAACAAACGAGGGGAAGCGCCGGAAGGTGCCTTGCGATCGATGTCAGTAAGATCGCAAGTATGTATACTGACACACTGGCATTATGTAGGACACTGAGTGGAAACTTACCATAAACCACGCTACGGGCTGGCACTCAAGGTATTTCATTCTCTTAGTAGAGTCGGGTGGAACCGGCCGAAACGACGTTTGAGCTGATGCCTTGTTTGTCTCCGTCCCATAAAACCCTGGCAGGCCTTAGAATACGTTCCTCCCGTGCCACCCAGTTGGGGCTGCGGTGGGAATAGGTTCGGTTGAGTTATTCCCGTCTTACGCGATCCGGCTCTGAACATAACGCCCCATGAAGGCCTATGTCAACCCTCGTCATGGACCTCACTGCTCGCATAGGCACCCATGGGGATCAATCAGCGACTATTCCATTTGCACGGTAGGATAGCGGTCTAAGGGGGACCCAACAGTCGGGATGATTTCAAACAATCATCAACAAAACCAAAAACCCCAAACCCCAGTTGAACAAGTCGCCGAGGAGGCGACCGCGAACCCGTTCGCGAAGGGAGGTCTACCCAGATCTCCTGAACACAGAGAGCCGAACAAACGGTCGAAATCTCCGCGCGATGCAGAGACAACGGCCGGGATCGGTGGACAGCCGGAAGAGCAGCCGAAGGACTGGCCCGGGCTAATCAGAACTATGAATAGCTTTGGGCCCCTCCCTAGGCTGCTGGCAATCGCGGGACAACTCGACGCCATAATTGAGTTCACGAGTACGAAGAGCAACATCGCGAAGGACCTAAAGCAGGCCTTGCGACAGCTCCGTGCAAACGTGAACGAGGCCCAGGACGACCACGAGCGGCTCAGGAAGCGACTAGAGGTCGCAGAGAGGGCGGAACAGAAGGAACCGAAGTCTACCCAGACGGACGCCTTCAACTTCGCGGGCAACAATACGATGTCCAGCGAGGCCCTCCACTTTGCCGTTACGCAGGGACAGAAGCGTAATCGACCCTCACCTTCGCCAGTAAAGGGCGCAGCACGCCCTAAGAGACGGAAAGTCTCTGTGCAGGTGGAGAGTGCGGTGGTGGACGTACCGAAGAAGAGGGCTGGAATAGCCAATAGAAATACTGAGAAACCTAGCGGCTCCAAGGGCGGGAAGCAGGGCGGTAAGAAGGGTACCCCCCCGAAACCCCCGAAACCCCCGAAACCCCCGGACAAAACTGCCCCCAAGAGCAGTGCTGCCCGGACCAGGAACAAGGGCGAAGCTCTCATCCTCAAGACGGACGCGTCGAAATACGCGGAAGTCTTGAAGAAAATGAGAACGGACGAGCGCCTTGTGGAGATGGGCAGTAACGTGAGGAGCATCAGGCGCACTCGTACAGGCGAGATGCTCCTGGTGCTCAAACGTGGTGCTAAGGACCAGGGACCAACCTACCAGAAACTGGCAAAGGAGGTTGTTGGTTCTGGGGTGCAGGTGAAGTCGCTAGGCTCGACTATCACCATCCAGGTCAAGGATCTGGACGAAGTGACGGAGGCGACCGAGATAGTCACGGCGCTCCGGGAACAGTGTCAAGTCGAGGTACCGCAATCAGCGATTACCTTGAGGAAGGGACTGTTCTCCACCCAAGTGGCTACCATCAGGCTCTCTGCAGCTGAGGCCAGAAAGGCGGTAGCCGCAGGGAGGGTGCGAGTGGGCTGGTCGGTCTGCCCCGTCAGTATTCCCCGACCGGTGACGGCTTGCTTTAGGTGCTTCGGTCAGGGCCATGTGGCCCGTGACTGCAAGAACACCGACAGGAGCAAGCTTTGCAGATGGTGCGGCTTGGAGGGCCATAAGGCGCGAGGTTGCCAAAAGCCGCCGAGGTGCACTATATGCGCGGAGAAGGGGAATACCCCTACCAACCACATGGCAGGTGGCCCCCGCTGCCCGGGGTCCAAGAGCAATGCTGCTAAGGCAAAGAGCAATGCTCAGCCATGTTCGAGGTAGCGCAGTTGAACCTGAACCACTGTTCGGCTGCCCAGCAACTGCTGTGGCAATCGGCAGTGGAATGGGGAGCGGATGTCGCAATCATCTCTGACCCGTACCGCGTCCCAACCGGCAACGGGAATTGGGTCACGGACGCGTCGGGGATGGCGGCGATATGCACGATGGGGAGCTTCCCCATTCAGGAGGTAGTCGTGTCCAACTCGAGCGAGGGATTCGTGATCGCCAGGGTTAACGGAGTATACTTAAGTAGCTGCTATGCTCCGCCCAGGTGGTCTATCGAGCAATTCTCGCAGATGGTGGACAGACTGACTGCGGTACTTGTCGGCCTAAGACCGGTGGTCATTGCGGGCGACTTTAACGCATGGGCGGTAGAGTGGGGTAGCCACCACACCAACCAGAGAGGACGCATCCTACTGGAGGCAATGGCCAAGCTGGACGTTGTACTATCCAACACCGGCTCGGTCAGTACCTACAGAAGGAATGGTGCAGAATCCGTCATCGACGTGACATACTGCAGCCCGAGTTTGGAGGGCAACCTACACTGGAGGGTCGATGAGGGTTACACTCATAGTGACCATCAGGCGATTCGGTACAGTGTGGGGCCAGGTGAGAGGCGAGTGGCAGGAGGAAATTCTTCCTGCGCTCGAGGCTGGCGGACGTCGTTCTTCGAGGAGGAGGTCTTCGGCGAAGCACTGAGGCGGGAGCGAATAACCCCGGATCTGACGGGGGAAGAACTGGTAGCAGCACTGACAAGGGCGTGCGATACAACCATGCCTAGGAGAGCCTATCCCAGGCATGGCCACAGACCGGTGTACTGGTGGAGCGAGTCGATTGCTATCCTCAGGGCGTCTTGCCTCCAGGCGAGAAGGAGGATGCAACGAGCTCGTACGACTGAATCTCGCGAGGAACGCCGCGTCGCTCTCCGAGCGGCTAAGGCAGCCCTCAATAAAGAGATCGCCAGACGCAAGCGCGCGTGCTTTGACAGCCTATGCCAAAGCGCCAACACGAACCCATGGGGGGATGCTTACAAAGTGGTCATGGCAAAGACCCGCGGCGTGACGGCACCCCCGGAGAGATCACCAGCGGTACTGGCTCCGATCGTTGGGTTCCTGTTCCCGCGTAGGGACGTAGACTCCTGGCCGCGGATCCCAGGCGCGGATCAGGGAGAAGTGTCTAGAGTGACGAACAGTGAACTTGGCGGTATTGCCAGGTCGCTGGTGGTGGGCAAGGCCCCGGGCCCAGATGGGATCCCGGTTGTGGCTCTGAGGGCGGCCGTTGCGGAAAATCCAGACATGTTCCGTTCTGTTTTTCAGACTTGTCTGGACGTAGGCGTCTTCCCAGACGCGTGGAAGCGGCAGAAGCTGGTGCTGCTTCCGAAGCCAGGAAAACCCCCTGGGGACCCGTCAGCATACAGACCCATCTGTTTGCTGGACACCACTGGGAAACTGCTTGAGAGGGTCATCCTCAACAGGCTGTCGGCCTACACCGAAGGTGTAGACGGCCTGTCAAGCAGCCAGTACGGGTTCCGAAAGGGCAGATCCACGGTGGACGCCATCCGCGACGTCATCCAGACGGCAGAGGTGGTCCATCGGAAACGAAGGGGCATTCGCTACTGCGCGGTGCTAACCTTAGACGTGAAGAACGCGTTCAACAGCGCGTGCTGGGGGGCGATAGCCCGCTCGCTACACCAGCTCCAAATTCCCGGAGGGCTGTATAAGATTCTGGAAAGCTACTTCCAGAATCGTGTGTTGACGTACGACACAGAAGATGGCGAAAAATGCGTTAGAGTCACCGCAGGTGTGCCACAAGGCTCCATCCTGGGCCCGGTGTTATGGAACGTCATGTACGATGGACTGTTGAGGATAAAATTCCCGGTAGGCGTGAAAATTGTAGGTTTTGCCGACGATGTCACGCTGGTAGTCTGCGGGGAATCCCT